AAGAAGAGCGCATCTATGTGTTCACGAACCGGAGCAGGCGAGGAGTCGACAATTTGGCCGTAGGTACAGCTGAAGAAGATTGCATCCAGCCCAGAAGGAAACGTCCTAGGCGTCGCTACCGCACTCGTTCCGGTCGATACGTAGTAAATACCATGTATTTGTCCTTACCTGACAGTCCTAGCTGCAACTACAATCGACGCTTGATCTTCATGATTTCGTGTACCATTGCCCATCGTAGTATAAAAGCAGCGCCTCGCTGTACACGCACTTCTACATATAAAGGCACCCAAGAAGACCACAGCTATTACAATCTTTCTGGACAGGCTGTTCAACGAGCTTTATCTGGTACGTCTCCAGCAGTGTCGATTCAATCTCACTTGTAATGGCTTTTTGGCGCTTCACGTTTTTGGTGATGCTCACACTGTCGACCAGCACCATCGTCTTAGATCTTCCGTCGATGGCTAAACAACCCCAGTGAGCTCCTTCAAAGCTGACAGGCACCAATACAAACTGGCAAACGGCGATACCGCACAAATCTCCAAAGGTATCTTCTCAGGGAGAATCGCCTCCACATTAGCGGGCTTCTTTCTTGGCAGTTTTGTTTAGCGCAGCCATCATCACAATCGCATTGTTCATGTAGCGCTGTAGAAAAACCGAGAAGGCGCGAATGGCGTCGTCGTTTAGCCACATCGAACCCATGATGCAATAGATGTCCGACATCGTCAAGGCAAATACAGAACCTGGTAAAGTTTCAAATGGCCAGGTATATAGAATTGTATCAAATACAATAACCACTGAAGGCCTTTCATCAGCAATTTCTTTCACATCGTTGTTTAGCCAGGTGCATAACGCAACACCGCGACGACACGCGGCCTGCAAATTCCACAACCACTTCATGGTATCCAACTTATCTCTAGTGTACGTGCTGATTGTTTTAATTGCCACCACATAATCGTCCGAGTCGCCACTTTCTCCGTCAGTATCAATTCGAATTTCTGCCTGCTCTCCACATAATGTTTCACGTAGCTGTTCAAGTGCACAATCGATCGTCGGCTCAGAAAGCATGTAGCGCACACTGTCGGGCACATAATTTGGGCCCACAGCCCACGAATGTGGCTTCCCAACGGCTTTTCCTAGCACCTGAAAGGTCTCGAAGAACAACCCGAGCCTGGCTGAATCTCCTTCAGAGAAGCAACCACTTCACACACATCTCGTTTGCGTAGCAACCCTCGCAGCTTCACGCCCTGATTGTATTCTTTCAGGTCAGAGTTAGCTCTAGCTCGAGCTTTCTTACGGTTTAGTCGAGGGCGCCCGACTGGCACAACCCTTTCAATTAACTTGATCTGCACGGGAGCACTATCTATCGATGTGCGCAAACGTCGTCCAGCTGCAGTGGCTGGGGGCTCGCACGATTGTTGGGTAGGTTGTATGTCATCGAAACCATCATTATTTTCAAAATCATTTATTTGACATCATCACCACCGGAAATTTCATCACTCGAAACCCCACCTCTGGAACTTCCATGACTGCACTCAAAACTACTGCCAGCAGATCCACCTGCATCTCCACCTAATCACTTCGATTATGGCGCTCAATATTGTCACTAAATTGAGGTGACAGGATCTCCACTTGACCTTGCCGCAAATAATGCCACCAGTCATCTAACTGGGACATTACCCTCTCAAAGCGACGTCTCTAGACTATGCCATCTACCCGCTGATCCGCCAAATGCTTGTTGAGCACGCCGATATTTCTCTTACGCTGATCGTGTCTGTGACGAGGCCTGTGGCTGCTTAAAAACCTTCGCGACATACGATTTTGCCACTGCCAATGATTCTCGCGTCGACAAACGACTCCACCCATACCATCAAGAAAGAGCAATACAGTCGATGGCAGCAAAACATGGTTAATATCTGAATAAAACCTGGCTTTAATAGACAAAACCTGGATAAAATCTGGAAATGCCTGGACATACCTGGAACCAATTGCAGCGTACGGAACCACAAACGGACTTCATGATGACTTCTTGTAGACCATCGCATGTCGGCACAAAAGCTTCATGGTTTGAGCGAGCTCGCAATCACACTGCCAGATCTCCTTTTCCATCATGTATTCGTGCTCTCCTTGCCGAAAAGTTACCGTATCGCCATTATCTACAATGGTGTAGCTGCTCCCCACAACCGGGTCCATCGCAATGTCATACTGTGTCTTGATGGTAGCAGATACCCATCGCGTAGTCATGCCAAGCACAACGTTCATCTCCTCCGTGTATGAAGTATCCCGTAACGTACCTGTCATCTCAACCTCGGCGTAAGTATCCTCCTCCTTTCGAACGCTGGAATGATAGCAGTACTTTCAAGCTGATGTTCAAGGAGAAATAACCTTTGATTTGCTTCTTGACTTTGCCAAATAGGCTCCCTACGCGGTTGTTTGTTTGGTTCTGAAAGTGAGGAAAATCAACACGATACGCCATGACCACAGGCCTCGTACGTTCCCACATGGTCTTGTACGTTTCCCAATTCTTCTCAAAATACGCCGACAAAGCTTGCCTTCCTCCTCAAAGCAACAAACGCTTAAAATCTTCGCGATGAGCCACCTAATCTGCTTCCGTCCTAGCGTAGGTCATGTTCGTCATAGTGTGTTTCATTTGGGCCAGCACGTCCGCTTCATAAGCTCGGTATTTACTCGACATGCGAATCGTATCATGTTGCCATTTAATCACGTGTAAGTGACATAGCAAAACGCGAGCCTCCAGGAACTTCTGACGCAAACCTTCCACTTCTCTCATGTCCTTGTCTGTAATCACAATCCGCACGAAACGCAAGTGCTCATTTGCGCGCTTGAAATGATCACTACTCTTTTTCTTTTTCCAGTCGCTGTTCGTCTCTAACAATGAGTACTGGACAGGCTGTCCATTAGCAAACTGGGCCATAACAACGATCGAGAGTAGCTGGTAGTTGAATCTAGTAATATACAATCAAAAAGGTAAATACCTGGATATGGGCAATACATGGAGCAAATAAGAGCAGCTTTGATTTACTTGTTCGCCTTATGTGTGCAGTCAATTTGAAGGACCTCAGGAAAACTAGATAACATATATCGCATATGCCTTGTCGTGATTGAAATCACCGCAGTGTTCCCATGCGCACTTTAGTACACTGACGACACATTCTGAGGAGAATCCATGCTAAAGTTTACGATTGTTTCAGCTACAGCGTCGTCTTTAGACATTTTTGCACCTAGGGTAATCCGCCATCATAGTAATCGCTAGCACGCGGACATCATAAGTAATCAGACGTAACAAACACTTTAAACAATTACCGGAGCTACGCAAGCGAGCGATCAAGTTTCGGACATATGTCATCGTAACCCGGGGCTCGGCGTTGTCGCGAATATAATCGTAAATACTTGATGTCCCTGCCTGCGATTCCACGAGTAGCTCAACGCCGAGTACCAACGAAGACTGCGTAGACGCCTACCGAAGCCCTGGGTAGTGCTGGTAAATCTCTGGAGAAACGTAGTGGTTCTGGCAGTAAATTCGCGCTTAAAATCTATTCCCCACGAGCCATCATTCAAGCAATTAGCCTGCACAAGGAACGAAAAAGGACACTTAGTCCGACGAAGATTGTGGTACGTGCGCTTGCCTGTCGCCCGTTCACGCGTACGCCACCGTGCGTACAAATATATTTGCGCTGATACGGGGCCATGGCATCTGGGATAAGCGCGATTTCCTTCACCGGGACGTTTTGGTACTGGATCTGGCTCTTGAGTGCCGAGTTACTCCGAGCTACACCTATCACTTCCTTCACGGCAAGCACCGGTCGCGTCGTGCGCATATTCATCTTAAGCCTTTGCTCGAATGCTGCCCAGGTATTATGCTCCTCCTCGAATGGCGGAACGGAGACCAGAAAATCATCATCAACGTCTGCAATCGGACGCTTATTTCTTTGCCGTGCAGATGGTTAGAGCTCCTTGTCACAATTCTCATTCCCTTCAGCAATGCCCTCGTCTTCATTAATCCCTTCGTCTTCCTGCGCTGCAGCCTCCGGGTGTGAAGCGACCCCTCTCTTTGTATCGCCTGTCTCATCTTCATCGCCTGCTTGACTCATCACCGTCGCCTTCTTTCAGTTCTTGGCCATCTTTGCCGGCTGCATGGGGGCCAAACATCGTTCCTGTAGTCTCAACTCGACCCTCTCTCTCGCGTTGAATTGGCACTGCTTTTTCGGACCTAGTGCGGGCGTTTTTGATAGTAACACGATGCACGGTCTTCTCTACATAAGCTTTCTCTCGAGTTTCCACTGCAGCGCGGGCCTCTTCCTTCCTTAGCGCCTTCTCCGCCATCTGTTACTTGATATGCGCTGTCTTGTGGGTGGGAGTCGTGATGCTGGTCCTCAGTACAGCCGCTCGACGCGAGGTCGCGTGGCTTTTTTCTCCCCGGATTAGTGGCTGAGAGATGAATGAAAATAAAATACCGAACGAAAAGCAGTACAGTAGCAAAAAACCCTGATAAATACCTGATGTAATATTTGGAAAATGCCTGGTCGGAAATACCTGGACACGAACGTTGCTCTTAAAAAATCATGATATATCACGGTTAAGTTTTATTTATCCCTTCAGATTTCAACCAATCAAACAAAGTAGGCATATTGGGTCGAAAACTGAGCAGATAGACTTTTTAAAAGACTTTACTTTCTTAAAAGTATAAGAAATAGCCGTCGTGAAACTAGCTTCAATCCCACGCAAGTAGGGTACGTGCGCATATCAGTCGTGTTTTTATAAGGCATATCCGCGCTGCCCTGGCTTCACCGTCGTCTTCACTCAGGTCGGAAGTCAAGTCAACGCGAATTTTTAAGCCCATGAAAACGAAGGTTGGTTTCAACTAACCAATTCACACTGCCTGACTATTACTATTTTCGGCAATTACATTAAATAGACCTTCACATACTACTTTTCTCCTAACTTTGCTTCTCCTACGGGGGGGGGGGAAGGGGGGTACTGCGTTACGGGGCCGAGCTAATCTGGAAGAAGCTGCTCGTTCGGTACCGCTCCGGGTCGTCGGCCGCCGAAATGCGCAGGAAATACTTAGAGCCCGACTCCATCCCCCACGGCACCTTGTGGTATGTGAAGAAGCCCGTGTTGGGCGCTGCTTTGGCAATGAGCGTCGTGGCGCTGAGACCGTCCTCCAGCAACTCGATACAGAGCTTGTCCACCTTGAAATCGAGCACTTTCCACTCGATGTTTACGGGTTTGCCACGTGTCCAGACTGTGTCCGGATTGGGCGTTACGAGCGCCACCATGGACGCTCCTTCTTCGTGACACTCGCAGATACTTTTGGCGGGGCCTGTGCTCTTGCCGTACACTCTCAAGAGTTGCAGATGGTGATGCGCCTTGAGAGCGGGAGGCAGTGGCTGCAGGGGTGGGGGCGGCGAGCTAGGCGGAAACGTGCCGCCAAACTGCGATGTGAAGTCGTAGCTGCGTCGTCGCATGTTAGCGCGACCGTCAGCCGACATTGTGCTGAATGTGTGTCGTCGGTGGTCGAACGCCTCCTGTTGACGCGTCATGATGGCGATAGAGCCCGTCGATTTACGCAGTAGCGTCTGCTTTAGTTCCTCCAGCTCGTCCTGTTGCTGTTCCGCGTCCTCTTGTTGCTGCAAAAGCTCCTGCTCCGGAACGAGCTCCTGTGTCTTTCGCATCATCGTTGGAGACGACGGGGGTGACGGCGCAGTCTTTGGCTTGGCGACTGCCGCCTGCGGAGACGGTTCGCTGCTACTGTTAGTGGGACTGGCGCTGTCGCTGTTTACACTAGTAGCGGCGGGGAGATCCATCGAGAGACGCTGCAACACGCCGGCGACAAGAGACTTGGTGGGCGATTGGGTGTTGTCGGCGGTTGTAGACTGTAGCTCCAGTGTGCGCATGGGCCGTGTGTCTACGGCGGACGCAGCGGAAGTGGCCAGGAACGGCCGCAACAGACAATGCACCAGCAACAGTCCTAGCCGAGCAAGGCGCGCGCCCCAGCGCTCTCCGTGCGGTGGCGGCTCTGAGTGAAGGCCCTGGACGTCGATTCTGACCCGCGCGCGGTGAGAGGCAGAGCTGAGGAAAAGCTGCTGCCGTTCCGAGAAAGCTGCGACGAAGAAGAGGTCTCGCTCGCAGTCCGAGCGAATATTGCTATGCTACCTCGAGTCGGACCGGCTGACTGGCTAAATGGGAAATGGACCCCAGGTTTCACAGCACGGCCAGTGACTACAGCGAGGCAAGCGTTGCGTGCTAGCCCGACAGCTGGGTCGTGCGTAGGAATTCAGCGAATGAGAGTCGCCCGGACAAACCGCACGCCAGCAAAAGCGGCTCCAAAAACGGGGCTCTATCCCGGACTATAATTCTGCTTTGTGCTCCCCTGCCTCAGCAGAGACTAGGCCAGAATAGGTATGCGAGCCTTCGAGAAGGCGTTTCGCAGTCGAGGGATTCCAATCGAACGTTAGTTCATCGCGCGCCATAGTGAGCGCCTGATCTGTTCGACTCTTGGGTCGCTCCATCTTTGCCGCCATTTGGGAACGTCTCCGCGCGTTTTGGTCCGCGCTACGTGTATTTTGCATGGGTTCCACAACCGCACGGACCAAAAAAGAAAACCAGTCAGAAATAGGGTTCAATGTTTGCTGCCGGGCGGCAACATGATTCACAACCGCCTGCCATGTCGCGACAATAAGGTAGACGCTGTAGATAGGAGGAGACATCGCGGTTGCGTGCCGGTGACGCCACGTGATACATTCACGCTCGGTTCAGGGCGGTCGTACATGTACTGGCGCCACACGAAAACACATTTTCTGCGAATGCTTATTCTGCTCGTGGTGAGCGCCAGCTGTTGGCCGCTGAAGCGTCACCACGGCGTACACCCATTGGCGCAAAAAGCGATCCGCCCGTCTATGCATTGTGCATGAAGACGATTGTGAAGCAAAGGCCGGCGCTGCATGCAACGGCATCCTGGCGCTTTTTGCGGGCTTTGCCGCCGTCTCGGTGTCGGTCGTCGGCCGCGCCTTCGCGCCCTCGACTCGCGACTCGATGGGAAGGTAGTTTGGATAGCCGTCGCGTACGCGAAGCCTCCCACTCGCGCTGTCTAATAGCTAATGCTCGACAATAAGCCCTGTCTGCAGGGGGAACATCGCCGAGCTTGCATAGGTCTTCAGTACATAGCTAATAGCCAGAGCACGCCGAACTCGAGGGAACAGCTCGATCGCTAGCCTCGGAATCCGCTGGTCCAGCAGCAATGCTAGCTGTCGTTGCCAACGGCCGTCAGTGGCTGGTACGCCAGTGACTTGGGAAACATGTACCTACAGTAGCTAGTCGAGCTTAAAAAAAAACGCGGGATACCGAGCTTCGGCAGGCCACTGTCGAAGTGACATGACATGAGAGAGCGCGTTCGAAATCTCTCATCTCCCGATTTGCCTTCTCGTGGTTTAAATCGAGCAAGAAGTCGCCGTGCCTTTGGCAGCAGCTCAGGGCTATTGAACACACGCCGTCAGCCTTCGCTTTCAATCTTTAGCTAGTGGGTCTCTGCCGTTACTGGGGCAAATAAATCTACGCAGGCAATTCCCACTCGACCTGACCGTTACATGGCCAAGTTGAAGTGCATTTTGACCAATCGCAGACTGCCGCCACGTCAGCCGAATAAGAAAAATCCAGATCTCGTTGAAGTGCGTGGTGGCAACGGATACTTGACAAAGACAACGGATACTCGAGGCTGAAGTCTTCACCGCACCAAAGTGTCGTTTTCGCGGCTTTCTAGTAAAACACTGTGCGAGCATTGTTGCTGCATGGGACGTTGACCACGCTGCCTAACTAGCGCCGCTTCACCCACTGGGATATCATGTAAACTTCGCCATGTCTGCGCGAGTGCGGCGTCTGCGTTGCAGTAACCAGCGCAAACGCCGCGTCACGCTGCAGGCTGCGTCTCGCATGGGGAAGTCCCGCGGGCTCCGCTGTGAGATTTTGCGTACATCGAGACACTGTTTTCGGAGCGATGACCCCCCCCTCCCCCTCGCGGGGAGCAGGTAAAGGTGAGTCGTTGTCGAGATCGGTGCAGCTCTCCGCTTACTGCATGTCGTTCCGCTTTGCAGCGCGGACAACGGCAGCCACTGCGAGCAAGGCAGATTGCTCGCAGTGTGCCTGTAACCTCATGCTTCGACGTCGCAGGGCAAGTGCGGTAGACACGCACAATGCTTGGTGTCACGTGTCTCGCAGATGGACCACTACTTTTGGAGAGACGGACGAAGACTTGAGTTGTTGACGGTGTGGAACTTCCACTCTGGAAGCCTCCGTTTAAGAACGGGCTACTCCTCTGCTGCAGCACAGCCCACTATTGTTTCGCAGCCCACTATTGTTTCGCAGAGACAGAGATGCATGGTGTAGGAGCGGTGGTGTAGGAGACAATCGCCAGCGATGAGCGCCTTGCGACAGCGTGCTGCTTGTTGAGATCTCCGCTGGTACTAACACGCAATTTCTTGTCAGCTATCGCTGGCGTGCTACACTGGCTGCATCGCCGTGCTCTCGCGGATCAACGGCATGCAGCGCCACGGACTGCAGCAGTGTATCGAGCACGGCGCCAGTGGCATCGGAGCGAGCTGCATGCTCTTGTGGCAATTACAGCTTGTCCTGCCGCACCGTATTGCCTCGTGCAAGTTGCAGCGCCATGCACGTCGATTACAGTCGTGGCATAGCTCGAATTCAGCAATCCGTTTTTGCATCGCCCTCGTCTGCTACGTGAACGCGGTGGATGAACCTTATTCGATTGGCGGTCCCTGACCGTCTGCTATGATAGCAACGACGAGGAGCGCGACACTTCCTGCTGTTGCTGTTGCTCGCAGGTCACGAAGCCAGTCTGGCAGCGATCGATGCTCGCTTGTTTTCAAAGGCAGAACCTTCGTCAACATACGATATCGAATCGACTACACTGCCTCATGCTGCTGTCGTAGACCGCAACAGCCTGATCGCTTCAGGGTCGACGTGATTGCTCGGCGACCGCGTTGGTCACGCACCACGAACGACTCGTTCAACGAAGTCAACGTGGGCGCTATCATTCTAATCGAAAGTTACAGCTTCAAGCGTCGTCGAGCCACAGGGGGTAACCAAATATCATATGATATTTTTGATAGTAATAGTACTATTTTCGATATTAAATATTAATAGTAGCTCATTTTTGCAAAAGTTAACATAATATTTTTATATTAACTCGGAGAACTGAAAAATATTAGATACTACATGATATTTTATGATATTTTCCCACTTAAGTACGTTTCTTGCCAGCTTACCTCTGTGAACCGAGCGGAGCCAAATAACTTTTTCGATCAGGTTCTAGAAAAGCAGTAGGCTTTAAGACTGACGAGTATCTGCTCTAGTATTTCACTGTGACACAGACAAAGGCGATCGAGATGGAAAACTGCAAACGCTTGCAGCTGTTTAACGTTGATAGAGCGAAATCAAGACATTTGTTCTTGTTCTCTACCGATCTCCTCGTCGACATCGTGCGTCTAATAAACCTGCTGCCTGTGGCGCTAGATTAATGCGCTGAGCAGTGCCAACACACGACGCCAACCTTGCCGTCACTCTCACAATTGTCCTTCCCTCACGGTTGATTAGTAATACTTCAGCTAGTCGAGCGTTAACGACATCTGATTGGTTAATGTAGCCCGATTACGCAATCATTGAGAAATATAATATCGTATCAACTAATATTAAGTTGATATTTAATAATATCATATTGTCTCAGAAGAAAATATTAGGTGATATTTTTTACATTAACTGGTCTACAGGTGATATTTTCACAATATTAACTTCACCGATTTTGGAGTTACCATTAACCCCTGGGCGTGAGGCGTAGTGTCATCGCCTTGCGAGCGACGTTGGCTTCCTGATCGCAATCATTACCATCGTGCTGGTGATGATTATCACGAATTTGCTTCTGCCAATGAAGATCTGACTCATGTGCTGCAAGAGGACTGTGCAAATCTCTCTTCTAGCTTCTTGCAGAGCCGCGTATTTAACAAGGCCTGGTAAGTTGTTATTCCAGGTACATGTACCGGTAATTAGCGTTCGTCCATGCTTGCTGTCTCACAGACTCGATGATGGTGCACTCTCTGACTAAAAGACCAAGCTTCTACTTTTTGTTGCAACTGTGGTTCAGAAGTGACGGCGTGAAGTCTTTGAGATGCGCTGCGGACGATGTTGTTGCAGCAGCCGAGCCATCGTAGAATCAAGTCGCTCGAACGGGTGAAACGCTCCAGTTGTTTTTCCAGCGGGCTGTCTGCCGGCCTCAAAGTATTGCTGTCCACCACCGCCACCGACGTTGAGTCAGTCTCGGTTGCGTTGTCGGCTAGGATTGCTGACGGGTCTGCACCGAACAGTCCCCACAACCTGAGCCGTCTTCCAGTGAAAGACTTCTATCTTGCTGGCAAAGATAAAATCGTTAAACGAGGATAAAACAGCACAGCGAGGAGGATGCTTTTCCGAAGAGCAATAGCCTCTTCATAATATCGTTACGTCCTGAATAGGAAAGAGCGTTGCCTTGGTATTTCAATACCATTGTTGCCGAGCTGGCAACAATAAACCGATAGACCTTGGCAACAGTTGTTGAAGACGCTAAAAGTTGTTGAAACACTTAGCCGATAGGATTCGGTAAGGAACAAGAACATCACTTCGTCGAGTTTTCACTAGAATACGACGATGATCCAATCATCTTCAACATGGAGCTCAACCAGATTCTGGTCCAAAAGTTTTTCATTCCTCGCGTTCGTGTGTTTCAGTATCGAGTCCGACATCGTGTCGTGGGGTCTCATTGATGATCGATCGTTCATACGGTTCTTTCTTCACTGCGCACAGAAGATCTGGGCCTGGGTATCCTAATACGTCCCAATTGGCCCCTAGGGAACAGACAACACAAGCAGATCGCCACGATGCGGTCATTTTAGACCCCAGGCTGGTTGAAAGGCAGTTTCCAGCTCGGAGGATACGTGCACGCCACACGATGGCTCGTGTTTGACGTTCACTCGACACGTGCAGCTTTAGCGACTCCAGAATGGACGTGCCGATTTCCCTGGTGTAGGTGTTGCCCAGTTACGTGGCTATATATCTGGCGGTATCTCGTGCTCGAAAACGTGTCGACAGAAATCCAACGTTTTTTAGAATTGTTTGCCATGAGATAATGGAGAAGTACAGACTTGGATTTATCTGCGCCACCGTTGTGGCAATCGTCGTCACTGCATTGTCCAGACTGAGTATCCGTATTCCAGGAGGATGTGAAATCTTCATGAGCAACTACCTCCTAACGTTAGTAGAATCCGTCTCGGTTTTCCTCTCGAAGACACTGCATGACCAGACATGCTGTCAATCTTTGATTACCTCCTGGTTAGAGCTAGTTATAGGAATGCGACGACGGCCATCCATCACCTTGATGTCGTTTGGCCCTCAACGACAAAATGAATTAAAATGAGCTGTTTGGGTTTGATCTTCATCGAAGTACCGGTACTTCTTGTCCGGTGTTCTGTACCATGCTAGCGAACTCGCCATTAAATACGTTGAGCAACTCGGAAGGTGAGCCAAACTCCGCAATGTGGCCTCGCTTCAGTACCAAAATCTTGTCATAATCCAGAATCGTCTCGACTCGGTGAGCAATCGTCAACACGGTCGCTTCAGCAAATTCCCTACGAATGGACGTCTGGATGAATTCATCTATTGTTCATTCAGAAAAAGAAGAGGTCAGCAAAAAACCAACCGTAACAGTTATCAACAGTCTTCTTCTCACCTGTGGAGTGATCCATTGACGCAGTAGCTTCATCCAGACACAAAATCTTGGAATTACGCAGAATAGCGCGTGCCAGACATATGAGTTGTCGCTCACCAACACTAAAATTGTCGCCACCTTCTCGAACTTCGGCGTCGAGTCCACCACGTAAACTTTTGATAAAATTCTCCAGACGAGATTTCCGGATGGCGTTCCACAGTTCATTATCCGTCGCTTGTCCTGTCGGGTCCAGATTAAAGCGCACACTAGCTGCAAAGAGCACCGGGTCCTGGGGAATGATGGCCATACGGGAACGCAGCTCCGTCAACGTCAGCGCAGTAGTGGCCACTTCATCGATGTAAATACTGCCACCTCCCACTCCAGAATCGAACGATACCATGCGGAAAAGTGCAAGAAGCAGCGAGCTTTTACCCGCTCCAGTACGTCCACAGATCCCAACTTTCTCACCTCCTCTCACCGTAAATGAAATATTGTGAAGCACTGGCGCTGAGAGGGGGTCGTACCGTACACAAACATTGACAAAGTTGATCTTGCCGTGCTCAGGCCACTGTGGTCGCAGCTGCAACGAACGTGACTTGGGGGAAGTATACCGTTCGTAATGATGATTAAGCAGCGTCACGGGTTCGGTATCCACGCGGCAGTATTCATCTATACGCTCGACGCTGTTCATCATGTTCTCCATGTCGATATTGTTGCGGATGATCCAGTTAAGTAGCGACGTCATATTCTGCGAATAACTCAGTAGCAGCCCCGCCATGGCACTGGAGAGCGCCACGTGGTCGCGGCTGACGAAGAACGCGACTGCGAACGTGATCACCGCCCCGAGGAGCTCCAAGCGAACTCCAAGCCACCGGTTGATCAGGTTTAAGAGTAGAAAAGCCTTGGTGTTCTCGTTGATCTTGAGCGCTTGTGTGTGTTGACTCTGTGCCACCATCTCGAAAGTCCTGATCGTCACCAGACCATTCAACGTCTGCGTGAAATGCGCGTACACGGGGCTCTTGGAGATATTATCCAGACGTTGCAGCTCTCGACAGGATTTCCCGTAGAATCGCTGGTACGCGACGTAGCAGATGAAGACTGGGACAAGCAGAACCAGCAGTACAGGAGCCGTAGAGCTCTGAATTGCCAGCATGCTGAGAAGCGCGAGAAGCATGGAGACAAACTGGACGATGGCTGTGTTCAGTTTCTGATCTGGAATCGTAACAAACACATAACGTTAAGCTACCAAATAAAGATTGTTATTTGTGCAGCTTGCACGTACCGATTGTGTTCACGTCGTTAGAAAATCGATTGAGGATACGACCGACTGGTGTCGTGTCAAAGAAGCGCATCGTCCCCTTTATAACGCGACGGAGGAGTCGGTGGTGAATTTGTTTCGACGCACTACACATAAAAAAAAATCTCAGTTAAATGTTAGCACGGTACGAACTTCGATAACTGCGTACCTGAGTCCAGCGTATCGACAGCACAGGTCTCCAACAAACCCCAGTGCGATGGTACTTAGACCGAGATAAGCGTATACCGACAGATAGAACGTCAAGTTACCCCCCCTGGGTCTGTTACTGGTCCAGTTTGTCAGCCACAAATCTGTCGATACAGACGAAATCTGCGTTCCAAAAAGCAGCGCAAACGCCCCAACTGTCGAAATGACGCCGCAAGACACAATGTACGACGAGTAAACGCTCCACGACAGATTCCCCTCTGCCTTCTCCTCGTCCTGAACCAGAACGCCAGTACCACCCGCGTCACCGTCCACACTGGAGCTAAATCTAGCTCTAGATTTAGATTTGATCATGTTCAGATTACCAGATTGATGACCCGAATCCTCGTCGACTTCACGTTTCTCCTCAGCACGTTGAAACGACTTTAGCATCGTAGCAAACTTCCCGTTTGGCGTCACCTGCGTCAAGTCCTCGAATGTACCCATCTCCGCGACTTTTATGTTGTCCATGACGATGATCCAGTCTGCCAGATGAGCGAACTGCAGCGAGTGCGTGCTCAAAACCCGCGTGCGACCAGCCAAAAGTCCACTCGTTGCCTTGTTAAAGCACTGGTTAAACACACGTGTAGCCACTTGCGCGTCCAAAGCAGACAGCGAGTCGTCGAACACGTAAAGATCCTGGTCGTTCGAGTACACTGCGCGTGCGATGGCTACACGTTGCTTCTGTCCGCCGCTCAGCGTCACGCCGTTCTCCCCGATCTCACTTTGGAAGCCATTTGGAAGACTTAAAAGCTCTTTTTCCAGCTCGCAGCTCTTAATTACGCGGTGCAGACGAGCTGCGTCCAGTGGAGCGCCGAATAAAACGTTGTCTTGGACACTGGCGTTGATCAGATACGGCGTTTGTGCGGCGTAAGACACGTATCTCGCAGGAATCCGAACCACGCCGTATTCAGGCTGCAACTCGCCCAGTAACGTCGCTAGTAGAGTCGATTTCCCGCTTCCAACAGCGCCGACCACCAAGGTTAGCTTACCTTTAGGGATCGAGACCGTAACATTGGATAGCTGAGCAGGAGACGCGTCTTTACTCGAGGTTTTCGCAGCTTCATCTGACCATTTGAACGTTGCGTGACGAATCTCAAACGAAGGATCGGAAATAAACGAAGCGGATAGGGACGTCGAGCTGCGTTGGTGGCCTTCGAGACGCAGGAAGGACTCGAGTCTCTTGATGGATACATTCGCTTGGAACATGAGGGAAAACACCTGCGGAAGGACCATTAGAGGCAGGCGAAAAATACTGAACAGCGTGATCGCAGTGAACGCTTTATCAGCTGTCAGAGGTTCGTTTTGGACGTACAAATACGCTGCAAACGTGCCAAACGACACGAGCACGGGCCCAGCTTGTAGGATCACTCTTCCGTACGCGTTCCACACGATCATCTGCTTGAGGAAACCGAGTTCTTGACCGCGGATTTCGTCCACTTGTCCGAACATTTCGCTCTCCCAGGCGTAAAATTTAATCACTCGAATGTGCTGGAGCAACTCGGTTAGGAATTTCAGACGCTTATCGGTGCATTCCAGCATCTTTTTCGAGACTTTGGCGGCTTGGGACGACAGAGCAGCACTTGTAGGCAGCAGAATGACCATAATCAACACTCCAGCAAACGATGCAGCGCCCAGATAATGCACTAGAAGCAGCATGCCAATCATCAGTTGGACGGGAGCGGCCCACGAGTAGTGGATGACGTAGAACAGCTCCAAGATGCGGTTTGTGTCGATTGTAGCCATGTTCAGAATTCGACCCGAACCCAAAGTGCTTTTGGTTTGCGACGAAAGTTTCAGCGACTTCTCGTACACGAGCATCGTGAGTGCCGAACGCACTCGAATGGCTTCTCGTATCACCAGGTGGTGGTGTTGATGCAGACACAAAGTCTGCAGCACTGAGGCAGCGAATAATGTGCCACTTAGAATGTAGCCATAGTGAGAATTGGAGAACATGGCTACTTTCGGGTCCTCCACGTACTTGATGAGCGCATTGATGCAAATGGGTCCAACGAAGCCAAAGCAGTCGCCAGCCAGTTTGCAGGCCCCCGCCACGTACATATTGAAGCCAAAGGCCTGGCGGATCGGGATCCACAGCGATTGGCTATTAGCCTCCGCGTGTTGCACGGCCTCGCGTAGAGTACTGGTCACTCGCGCGGTGTCGTCTTCGGGCTCCAATGCCCATAAATCTTCGGCCTGAAGTGGCTGAGCTGCGCCTTGATCAAGCAGAGGCCCGAGCCAGCTAAAGGTAATGCGAGATAGCCAATGATATCGAGCACCCGAAGCCTTTTCGTGGTGCTGCTGAAGCTGTCGGGTGGGCACTGCTGCTGAGTGTAGCGGCAAGAGCGGCGACACCTCCCCACGAGTAGCCATGCTTTGACCCCTTTTTTCGGGACGCAGTTGCACTTAGTAGTATTATTCTATTTTAAGATCAATTTGTATTAATATTACCTTTACTTTCTGTACTTTTCTTTGTCTGCTGCTGGCTGGTGGTCTGGTGACATCCACAAAAAAGCTAGACGTAAAGTTGGCGTTTTCAAGACGTCACGTACGATTTGAAATCTGTTGGTTGAGACTTTGGACCAGAGCCTCTGACTACCCACTATCGGTGCAGCAGAACCTGCAGCAAATTGACCGGGACTACTGCTTGATCAACCAGCCACCATGGAAGAAGACACACCTCCACCATCGTCACCACCTCCACTTCCGGTGTTCAAGATGCCACGTGTTCACAAGCAAGAATACTGGTCATTCGTTCGCCTCGTAGCACCCAGCACAGAGATGCCACCCGGCCAAACGGCGTGGAAAACTACGGATGCAGAATTAGCCTACTGTCTTAAGTGCAAAACGACGTTTAAGTATAGATCCGGAAGTAGTGCAAGTATTCGCAAGCACATGAACCATGAACATCCCCACGAACTCGGAAGTGTTGGCCGGGAAGCGGCCGTTAAGCGTGTGAAGAACGCGCTCGCTTCAAAGCGTATATCCAGTGCAGTGATCTTCTCTCCAACAAAGAGAACCAAGAAGCAGCTGAAGAAGAGATGGCTACTCGAGCGCTGATTGAATGGATTGCAAAGTGTTTGCGCCCTTTAAGCATTGTCGAAGACGAAGAACTAAGATTTTTTATCACTTTAGTTCAGACTATGCATGGGATCTACGGATTACCTTCGCGCAGAACAATTACGGAGCGGATGCAAGCCCGTGCACAGCAACTGCGATCTCTGTTAAAGGAAAAAATTGCTGAGGAAGTTGATTTTTACTCTCTCACGACGGATATGTGGACCTCACGAACAACGGACAGCTACATCGCGTTAACAATTCATTTCATGACGGATTTTTTTGAATTGAGAAGCTATACTTTAGAGGTTGCTAGTTTTTGTGGCAAGTATACTGGAGTTCGAATTCAAAAAAAACTTCGTGACCTCATGTACACCTGGGGGTAAGATATCTCTCGTGTCTCTAAAGTTGTTCGAGACAATGGAGCAAATATCGTAAAAGCTTGTCACGAACTGGGCGTGGATCATTTCGGTTGCATGGCACATTCTCTACATTTAGTTGTGTCAGGAGCTCTAGCTAAAACTAAGGCTGAAGTGATGGACGAGTCAAATGGCGACGTCGATGAGCAAGAAGGCGGAGCTGTTGATGAAGTAGCCGAGGTTGATAACGGCGAAGAGCATTGGGTAGAGGATCCATCTATGGAATTGGAGGCTATTGCGTTCTTAGAGAATAAACTAGTTGGCTTAGAAACGTACGTAGCGGCAAATTCTGTACGACAAGAGGCGTTGGGAGTCGAAATGCTGGATGTAGCTGACGACTCTGTAGATGAAGGGCTTTTGAACGGATGCATGAGTGCTAATGCAGCGAAGACAATTTTGAAAGCGATGAAGCAGGCAATGTGTGAGTCTCGAAAGGATATATCTAGCTTTCGCAAGATGGTTACCTATTTCAACAAAAGTTCAAAAGGAAAAGGCAAGTTAAAATCTCTGCAAAACCTGGCACATCCGCTCACGGTTATTAAGGATGTGGCAACGAGGTGGAATTATACGCATCATATGATCCGGAGACTGCTGCAGCTTCGACCCGCTGTTCAGGACTTTTTTTGCGTACATGCAAACTTCTAAAGGTATAGAAGATTTTAGCGACGCAAAATTGGCAAGACCTACCAGTGAAATGTGGTTCCATTTGCAGTGCTTGGACAAACTACTTGTGCATTTCGAACTAGTGACAAAGACTCTATCGGGGGATACGTATCCCACGATAACACTGGCATTCCCGTGTATACGTCTTCTGGAAAAGAGACTGATGAGCAAAAATATTTTTTCTAAGGTATCTTCTGCTCATGCGGGGGAGCTTTACTATGGACTAGTGCTGAAGAGAATGCATCTCGTTCGTCGGTTGTTCCTTTTCCTACTTCGAAAGCGTTTTCAAATGCTTCCCGTTGATGTCAAGTACTGCTGTCTGCTCGATCCGCAATTTGCAAATGGCGAAATATTTACTACTGCAGAAAAGGAGGAAGGGCATGCATTTTTGCTGAATGAAGCAATGCGCTTTGCTGGTGTTAGCATCTCTGACGCCAATTTTGCTTCAAGTACCGACGAGAATAGTGACGAAGAAAAAGAATTTCTCAATGATCTGTTTGGAGGAAAGCGAACACCAGAGCCTGAGCGGCAAACGCAATTGTCGTTGCGTGATCAGGTAAAAGATGAGGTGAATCGATACTTCGAGAAAGCTCGGCACAAGGCTCGTGAAGCGTCAAATAACAAGAAAAGGCGGAAACTGGACGACGGTCTGCAATAGTGGCGCGAAAATGCCGAAGCATTTCCCTATTTGGCCCCAGTCGCGAGAAAAACCTTTGGGATAGTAGCGACCTCGGTTTCCTCCAAGCGTTGCTTCTCGTGGACTGGAAATGCTGTCACTGCGCAGCGCAACCGTCTATCCTGTCCTAATGTAAGGGACTTAATTTTTCTGCACAGCAACACGGAGAATGAGAGCTCAAACGAAGCAAAAAGAAAATAAACAATCACATTTGCCTTACAAATATTGCAGTATCATCTTTTTCCTTGCGCTTTATTAAAACCTCGTACGCTAATTACCACAAGGTCTTCCATCACTGTAGCTCGTGGAGAGGGTGAAGGTGGCCGTCGCAACCAAGCGGCCTTCTTGATGCTTCCCTGTGCCGTCTTGCTGGTGAACACGACAAGATTGAGAAAATCGCCGTTGAAATTGGCTTCCGCGTGCCATCCAGTACGCAGAGACGTTCGCTCCACTAATTAGCTGCAGACTTTTGGTATGCTGAATTGAATCTTTATCACTGTCGATCAAATCCACAACCGCTGCTAAGATAAAAAAAACCACATTTCAACAAATCAACGTCTCGTTCTCGTCGACCACGGCTGCTTCCGAAACAATCCACGCGATCCCTTATTCACCAGCAAAATTATCCATATTTGCCAGCAACAGCAAAGATGTGAGCAATCAAACTGGCAGGAGGAGCTCCGTCGGCAGCGACGAGGTTTCCTGCGTCTTAGCATCATGTTCTTCCACACCAAATTAGCCATTTGTCTCCACGGCGCTGCCACGCGAGCCGCAGCACCTGTGTGTTCACTTGAACCTTTTATTTGTTTGCGTCATCCGTTGAGTCTTGAGAATACAGCGACAGCCGCCAGCACATCAGCAATAATAACCGCTGCAGTAATTAGGATCGTATTAGCGGACGAAATACCTCCGTCGCACTCGTTCTGGTACGTGAAGACACTGTCAAACAGCTCTTGGCACGTCGTGACCACCGTCGACGTCGTGTTGCAAACCTGGGGAGACGCCACCGCAGCGCAGCACGAGTTGGACGCAGAACACGTCATCTTGGACCACATGACTCGACACACTGATGCTCCATTGTACTCGCTGCTGTCTGAGTGATGCAGGTTCTTCTGCTGCTTCGTCCAAATAAAGTGTACCTGTGAAATAGCATTGATTAACGAAAGACCTATCATAATGAATGACGCTCTCTTTACGTAAGAAAAAACGCGAACGGGAACTTTTTGACGGAAACGGGAACCACCAAATCTTTACGTTAGCTTCGTTTACGTCCCCATCCCTACTGGTGTTGCCGTTGAGCGTAGGTGAGTACTGGTCGAGAATTGGACCAAAAAGCAAAGGGGTAGGGTTAAATAACCTTAATCGCGACGTTTCAAAAACCTGACAAACCGTCGAGTACTCGGACTTTCAGCCTGACTGCTGTCCACTGAGTGCAGTTTTCAGTCACCGCTTGACGATGCCTACGCCGCCCTGTTTTGTTGCTGTAACGGGCCTAGAGTGTCCGTTACTAGCTTACACGTAATAATGAGGAAGCGTGCAAGCTCCGCGATAGTGAAACCAAGTGCTTAGTCTGAAGGAAAATCAACTCTGTTTTTATTTAGGTCCAGGGCAGCTTGCCCTGACCACTCAAATACACGTCAAACCCTTATTGGCTGATAATGGGTCTGGCTCCCCATATATCAACCAATAGGATGACGGCAGTTCAGCACACGCTAGCCGTGTGCTGCTGCACCTACTTTTGTAATATAAATCTACCTACTTATGTAATGGCGTGGCCCACTACATCACCCCCCTCTTAAAGTTGCACTTACGCAACATAAGGGACGGGCGGGGAACAAATCAATCAAAAGGGAAACGAGAAGAAAATCGTGGCCAACAGGAACGAATGAGGCGGGGACGAGACAGATCCTGCGCCACGCAGGAGAAGTACAACACGACTTGCACAGCAGACAACAGGAGCGGACGATGGAACAGCAACAGCAGCAGATTCCAGCGACGGCGACGTCGCTGACGAGCGCGACGACCGCGGCACGCGGCACCCACGTGATTGACGAGGCGCTGAGACCCTGGGCCCTGTATGACATCTCCGGAGCGCAAGATCCGGAGTCTCTGGACGAGATGAAGGACCTCTTCCGGCGTTTTCGTGCGCTGCGCCAGAAGCCGGTGGACGGCGTCGACCACAGTGCGCTACAGGAGTCGTGGTGCGCCTTCATCCGGCGCTGGAACCGGACGCAAGCGCAGGAAGAGAATCTCGTCGACTGGGTCGCATACCGGGAAGAAATCATCGGGGGCCATTCCTTGGGCGAGCTGCGCGTACGAATCTGCGACAGCGCTTGGAACGCCGACGGCCGCATCTGCTACGTGCGAGTTGCTGAGGCTGCAGGGGGTGTGTGTCGTCTCGCCCGACTACGGACGAGTGGAGAGCCCATGTCGCCGAGCATCCGCTCAGTGATCGCGAGAATGCCTGGATCCAGCGTTACCGTCGCTCGCTGTCCGAAAATGCCAGCGCCGCTAGTCGCGCCGGCTCGCGCCGACACTCATCTCGACGAAGCGCATCT